AAAAATGCTGTTGAGCCTCATTAGGTTTGCACTTAATTATATACTAAGAATCAACATTTTAATGATGTTAATTAAGTCATCCTCTCCAAGAACAAAGGTTTTCACTTGTCCAATCTTGTCTTATGCCATTCAATATAATTTTTGTTATTCTTCAGTATTTTATAATTTTGAATAGGCAATACATTAATATGGTTCAAAATGTAATAAAAAAAAGTATTAAAGGGCCGGCCCGGTGGCGCACTTCTACAGTGTGCTGCTTGGGAGTGCGGCAGCGCTCCCACCGAGGGTTCGGATCCCACATACAGACCGGTTCCCGCTCACTGGCTGAGCGAGGTGCGGGTGCAGCACCGAGGGTTGCGATCCCGTGGCCGGTCCCGGTCTGGTACGGGCGCGACACTGAGGGTTGCGATCCGTTGCCGGTCACGAAAAAAGACAAAAAGGAAAAAAAAAAGTATTAAAAAGTAATATAGTGAAGTTTCCCTCCTGTTGTTGTCCCTCAATCACCCAATCTTCCAGAGGCAGTTTATGTATATATGAGCAAATATACACACCTATTTGTTTCAATTCTTCTGTTACTATTTCTAGTTGATTATTGCTAGAACAGAGAAAAGTGATTTTTGTACATTTATCTTTTATTCAGTCACTTACAAATTTCCTTATTAATGCTAATAGGTTTTTACTATAAGCCTTTTGGATTTTCTAAATATAGTCATATATCAGCAAAACAAGATAATTTATTATTTTCCAATATTTACACTGATTTATTTTCTTCCCTAATTGCTCTCATCTGAACCTTCTTTCTGGAATATGGAAGGTACTGGCCAGAGAGGGATGGAAGCTTTGGAGGAAGTGCAATTACTGGTGATAAAATTTAAAACGTGACCATAATGTAGGTGATTGAGGTGGGCAGGGGCAGAAAAAGATCACTAAATGTGCAACATTAAATCCTGTCTTTTTCAGACTTTGGTGTGGTTTTAGTAGTTACAATTTAAAATGATGTTTGCTATTGGTTTCTGATGATCTATCATATTCAAATCGTTTTCCTTAGAGCTTTAATTTGATCAAATCATACTTAAAGTTGCAAAATTTTACCAAATGATTTCAGCCTATACTGATTTAATCATGTTTCATCTCCTTTCATTTAAAAAACTTTATTTAAAAATAATTTAAGACTTACAGAAAAGTTGCAAAAACAAGGAATTCCTGTACACCCTTCCCTCAGATATCCCAAATGTTAATACTTTACTTTTGCTTTATCATTCTGTGTATGTATATATGTATGTGTGTACATACCTATAAGGGTACTTTAAGAAGTTCATGGAAAGATTTGTATTATCTTTTAATTCTATTTTTCAGCAAACTTTTTGAAATACTCTCATATTTGAAATACATACCCATATATATGTATGGGTATGTATTTATGTATATAAAAAATTTAAAGTTTCCTGAAATATTTGCAAATTGTCTTTATATTTTTAACCTCTCAATACTTGTGTAATTTTCTAAAAACAAGGACATTCTTTTCCATAATCATAGTATAATTATAAAAATTAAAAAATTAACACCAGGGCCGGCCCGTGGCTCACTCAGGAGAGTGTGGTGCTGAGAACACCAAGGCCCTGGGTTTGGATCCTATATATGGATGGCCAGTTAGCTCACTTGGGTGAGCATGGTGCTGACAACACCAAGCCAAGGGTTAAGATCCCCTCACCAGTCATCTTAAAAAAAAAAAAAAAAAGTAAAACATTAACACCAACACTATTACTCTAGACATTTAAATAATATTTAAGTTCTTGATGTGGTTAATCATATTAATAAATTTCCTGACACTGAGCCCTGTATTGCTGAAATAAACTTTATGTGATCATGGTGTACAGTTCAAATTTGATTTTATTTGGAATTTTTGCATCTACAGTCATAGGTGAGATTAAGCTATGGTATTCTTTTTATCACTTTATCGGGTTTCAGTACACTGGCTTTAAAAAAAAAAATCCATTCTGTATCTCTCCATCTTTTCCCATGGTCTGAAGCAGTTTATATTTTGGGCTGAGTGATAGCTACTGGGGTGTGGTCACTTTGTAATAATTCATTAAACTCTATACTTTTGATTTGTGCACTTTCCTATATATATATACACAATTGACCCTTGAACAATGCAGGGCTTAGGGGTGCCAATACCCTGTGTAGTTGAAAATCTGCATATAATTTTTGACTGTCCTAGAACTTAACTACTAATAGCCTAGTGTTGGCTGGGAGCCTTACCAATAACATAAACAGTTAACATATTTTTAGTGTTTATGTATTAGTATGTATTATATACTATATTCTTACGATAAAGCTAGAAAAGAGAAAATGTTTTCCACATTTCTCTCAATGGTGAATGGCGCCATGGTCTGTGTATGCATAACTTTTGATAAATTTTAATTTTTTATAATAGATTTGTGCATATTTTATGGTAGTAGTAAACGATAATATATACTATCTACATATATTTTATGCATTCATGACATACCTTTTACATTTTTTGATATTTCTAGGTTCGAATTGTTGCAAATCTCCAAAAAATTTTCCAATATAATAATTGAAAAAACTCCATGTATAAGTGGACCTGTGCAGTTCAAACCCATGCTGTTCAAGGGTCAATTGTATATTTCAATTAAAAAGCTTAATTAAAAACCAATCTATTAAAAGGATAAAATTTAAATCACCTGCCACAGCTTCTTAAAGAAGTGGCTGATGTCAGGGCTGGGACAGGGAAAATGTGAGTGGGCCTGGAACACCTTGTAGTGCCGGAAAGTAAGAAGTGCTCAAAAAATGATGGGGGCAATGTTAAAACAACACAGGAGCCAACTTGAGAGGGTTCCCCATGGCCAAATCTGGGCCAATTTGAGCAACTATTAGTATTTAGTATAATCTAAAACTCTGTTAGTATTAGATTATAACCCATAGAATAATACAAATATTCATTAGTTCATGTTGATATCAATGGTGAATAAATGAATGGGGGAAAAGGGATGGCTCTTCCTTACAGTAGAATACCAATTAATAAATATAGATGAAATAAGAAATCAAAATCATTAGGCAAATACAACATTAATAATTGTAAGCAAGAACCATTGATGATGGATGCTAAAATCAGTAGGCAAAATTCTAAGGATAAAGAAGACATTTACACAGCTTCAAAGCATCTCCCCAGAAGATTCTTATTATTTTCTTTTTTTTCTTATTAATTTCAAAGGGAAAATTTATAATTTCTAGTGGAGAAATCTGGCGCATACCACCTTAGCAATGTGGTCAAAGTTAACATCACCCCCTGCTCGAAGGCACTAAGAAGGGCACAACATTACTTCCGTAGTAATCTTACCAAAAATGCAGACTCTCAATCTGATCGTGCAAAAACATTAGACAAACCCAAGTTAAGGGACATTCTATAACTAACCAGCCTGGACTCTCCAAAAGTGTCAAGGTCATGAAAGACAAAGAAAGATGGAGAAACTGCCACAGGCTGATGGAGATGAAGGGAACCTGACAACAAGATGCAGTGTGGGATCCTGGGCCAGGAAAAGAACATCAGGGGGAAAACTGGCAAAATTAGAATGTCTATAGACTTGTTAGTAGTATTGCATTAATATTAATTTCCTAGTTTTAATCATTACAGTATAGATTTGTAAGATGTTAATATTAGGAGAAGCTGGGTAAAGAACATATGGGAACTCTACTATTTTTGCAACTTTCTGAGAGTCTAAAATAATTTCAAAATAAAAAGTAAAAAGCAACAACAGAAAGAACAGCAGTCACTGAGGTAGGGAGCAGCCAACACAGTTCCTGAGGGATGATTGCTGGAGCATCTGCTGGAGCCCATGCCCTGGCTTCTGACTGCCTCATAACCACCATACTGTTGTCATTCTTCCACCACCCAATGGACTCTGATTCCTGCCACCATCCTCTACTTCCTGAAAGAGACTGGCTAACACCACAGGAGGGTTCTGTAAAGGCCCTGCAGGTAGAGGGTACAAGGAGTGGTTATCAGTGGCGGCTACAACAGATGGTGCCCAAAGATGCACTGGGCCTTGCTGTGGCCTGCTAAGCTGGGGTTGAAACAGCTGGTCTGAGGAATGTCCTTGGGTCTGAGGAGTGTCGAGACCTTCTGCTTAGTGACTAACATGCAGACTGAATACATTGCTTGTTTATTCCAGGCTAACTTAGCTAGGACAGCAGTATATGTAGGCTGAAGCAGACTCCATGGCCATGTGGGCAGAGCCTAACCCCATAATCTCTCCCCCTACAGCTTCCCAATGTATATACATTGTTAGTCTCCTGAAGGAGGCCCCTGTAGCTGAGCTTGCTTGGTCATCTGGGACTTCTGTCCAGTCCCAGAGTAGGGCAGGGTAATGAACCAGTCAGCTCCACTCCTAGAGGTGCCCTACACTGGCCTAGTCCCAAGGCTGGAGAAACATGGTCTAGCCAGTTCCCAGACATGGGGTGGGAAGGAACAATGGGCATGATACGGCAGTGGAAAGGGGAAAGGTTCTATGGGCCCTTTCCCTTAGAATTTTAGGGCATGGGAAAGAGGTGGCTATAGACTAAATTGCAGAACTGCCTGTGCCTGGTCCTCTCCACTCTTCCTCCTCTCCCAGGGGTTATGTTCTGGGGACTGAGTTGCATGAGGGCAAGCAGAGGGTAGCAGGTCACAGCCTGGTCCCTGTCTTCTTCCAGCCAGATCTGTTCTCAGCTGTCATACTTCGGAGCTTCCTGGGAACATGATAAAGTTCCACCAACTGTAGGGTATGGGAATCATGCTGAAGGACAGAGGTAAGGGATCTCCCTCCTCCTTGCCTTGAAGGGAGTGAAGAGGCAGCTCCTCTCCTGCAGACTTGTTAGCAGCTTATGGACCCATAACATAGGGGCCAGGGTAGGGCAAAATTCCTTCTTCAGGCTTTGGTGCTACGGAGGGGTCTTCCAGGGGCTGTGAGGGGGCGAGCATGTGAGCGGAAGATAGGTCAGCTGCCATGCCACAGCCAAGGGGCCTTTATTAGATGTTGTGGAAACATGTAGGCGGGTAGGTAGATGCTAGATGGTGTGGCACACCTTCTCAGGGTGTAGAGGTGCCCGGATATCCAGCTTGTGGGTCTTGCTGTCCTTATCGATGATCTCCAGCCGCAGCTTGGGTTGGCGCTTCTCAGCCTGGGGCAGTTCAGGGCTCTTGAGTAGCTGTTTGTCTGAGTCCTCAACAGTGATGCGCAGAGTGCAGCCCCCTGGCAGCAAGTCCTGCTCATAGGCTGCTGCCAGCTGGTTCACCACGCGGCGCTCTACCTGCAGATGGTGGCAGGGGAAGGAGTTGTCACTGCCGCGGCCTCAGTTCAAGCCTATGGCCTGAGCCTGGAGGCCAGCTTCTATTACCTACTGCTTGGGCAAGCTGGAGACCTTTTCCAAGCCTCAGTTTTCTCATTTGCCAAGTGGGACTAAAACCACTCAGCTTGCAAGATCATGCTAAAGGCCTAGTGATGTCAGTTTCTGAGGCTCCCAGCCCAGTTCCCCACTCCTGGTAGGGCTCATACTTGGTTACCCTCCAAACAGGGACTTTACTTAATAATTTTGTGTTTTTGGTTTTGAAGGGGCATGTGCTCTGGATAGGGACAATTCCAGCAACCACACTATAGGGAGACAGGCTGGGAGCCCAAGGATGGGGTCTGGGGGACCCTGGGAAGGAGGTGTGGGGCACCTCACTTTCTCAGACTCCTGTGCTCACCTCATGCTTGATAGAGCGGGCACCATAGTGTACATTGTAGCCGTCAACCAACACGTCTGCCACCTCACGGTCCCAGAGCAGTGTGATGTTGTGCCTTTGCTTGGCCTGAGACAGGTTAGATAGAAGCATGCCTGCAGGTGACCCAGTGCTTTCCATCTCTCACCACTCTGGCCTAAGGCCCTAAGGCCAAGGACTATGAGAGACCACGCCCCTAGGGCCACTGGACCCACACCACTGTGCTCCATCTTTTGGGGGAGAGGGTGCTCCCAGTCCAGTGTTTCAGATTTCCAGTGGGTGGATGTCCCATCCCCGCCCATGGGCAGTCCCCTCTTACTCTCTTGGCCCAGAAGTTCAGTTCCTTGTTGACTAGTTGGATGAGCTCCGAGTGGCAGAAGGGGAGGAAGTAGACGATTTCATTGATCCGTCCCAGAAACTCATCCCTCCGGAAGTGAGCCTGCAGGGCCAGGTTAGGGGTAGGGTGAGCTCAGTGACCCAGAGAGGCTAAGGGAAATTACTGGACCCCAGTGGGTAAGATAGGGGGCTTCTATATCTTTTGGATGGCTAAGGCCTCCTCCCCCAACCTGAGGCTCCAGAAGAAAGTACCAAGAAAGACCTCTTACTTTCAGGATGGGGCGAATGACATTCTCCTTGAAGTTCTTTGAGATGGTGATCTTGTCACTAATCTGGACATCCCCTGTGGAGAAAGAATCATAACCTGCTTACTCCCTACACTTAGGGAGCTTTGGGGAGTGTCTGCCCCTTGGCCCGACGCACGAAAAGAGTCCTGGTCTTGATACCGTCTGTGTGATCCTGTCAAGCATAAGCCTCTCTGGGCCTGGTCTCCTCACCCGACAAAGTACTTTTTTTTTTTTTTTTTGTCTTTTTTGTGACTGGTAAGGGGATCACAACCCTTGGTGTGGTGTTGCCCGCACCGCGCTCAGCCAGTGAGCGCACCGGCCAGTCCTATATAGGATCCGAACCTGTGGCGGGAGCGTTGCTGCGCTCCCAGCGCCGCACTCTCCCGAGTGCGCCACGGGGCCGGCCCTGACAAAGTACTTTCTGGGGCCCTACCCGCTCTCATGTGCTATAAGCCTGGGGTTCCCTTCAGGTGGAATTGCGTGAGGGAGAAAGGAGAGAAGAGTCAGGATCAAGACTCGAGTTCTGATTGGAGGAAGGGGGCTGCAGGGCTCAATCCTGAACAGAAAGCTGCAGACAGTCTCCTGCCTGATGTGCTCCTCCTTTTCACCACTCTCCAGGGCCCACCCATGCACAAAGCTGCCCTGGGTAAAAAAGGCTGTGGCCATTTCTGCACAGTTTCCGATCTGCTGCCCCCTCACTGCCCCAAAGCATCTCTATTTGTTGAGTGTGTGTCTTCTGGCCCCTCACCTTAATGTAGCTCTGCCTATTCCTCTGGAGCCCTCCTCATAGAGACTTGGGGTTTTCTTGAGGAAGTGGGGCTACTAGTGTGTCTTTAATCGTGTAGTAGGGGTGGAATGGGATTTTGTCTGAGTCGGATAGGATTCCAGAGCACTGTCTCTTTTGTATGTCTCCCTCCACTATTTGGTGTGGGGCCTGGTTTCTGCCCAGTTTCAGCTTGGGACAAAGCTGCCTACTAGGACCCTCACCTGGGCCCAGGACCCCAATCCTATCCTTGCCCCCAGGAGATGTGCTGGTGGCCTGGTAACTTGCCCAGACAGCCCAGGTCATCCACCATACCAAGGTTTTCAGCGATACGGTTGCGGCTCATCTCCAGAGCTTCCTGTCTCAGCTGTAGGGCGTGCTGTGCGATCTCATCACTGGCCACATTGGAGGTCATGATGAAGATGGCATCCTTGCAGTCGATGGTCTTCCCTTTCCCATCTGTCAGCCGGCCCTGGGAAGGAAAGGGACTGTGCGGTCAGGAAGCTACAAGCCTGGGCAGGCTTTAGTACTCTTAGTACTTACCTCCTCCAGGAGGCCTCTCCATATCCCTGTGTGCCTCCTCCCAGCCCCAGCAGTAAGCTTGCTCCCTCCTCTGGGTTCTCTGAGCACCAGACTCACAACTTGGCTGCAGTGCTCACTGCCTTGGGCTGTAACTGCTCTACCTACTTCAAGAGAGCACCCCTGGGCGAGATTGCACCTGCTCTTTGGTATCTCTCAGGGCACCAAAATATCCTTTGCGTCCAGAAGTTAGTCTGATTCCCCATCCATCCATCCAACACACTTTCTTGGAGGTCCACTCTGGGTTAGGCTCTGTGTTGGGGCACTGGGGATTCACTGAGCCTTTGATACATGCTCAGTCTGGAGAATGAGTGAGACAAGCAATGACATATAAATATGCTGAGTGTGATGATAAAGGGACACCCAGGTTGCTGTAACAGTTCAGAGAAGGGTATTTTACAGTGCTAGATGTGATCATATTGGTGGAAGATCCTTAGTAAACCACACTGTGCAAATGTTTAGAGCTGTTATTACTATAGCAAATGATATTTATTGGATCAATATGAATGAAATGAATTGAAACAGGTGTAATCTCTACATCTTTTGAGCCATCCTTTGGCATAACAGAGAGGTATAGAAAATAAAGTTCCTCCTTTAACCCACTTGGGAAGTTTCCTTGGAATCTTTAGCTCTTTCTAGAAGTGACTTAGAAGAAGGCATCTATACTGGAGACAGATGCACCAAAGAAAGAGAAAAGGATCAAAAAAGCAGAGGGAAGAGATAGAAGAATTATAAAAGTATTGCATTCTGGGCCAATCAGTTGAAGGGTACAGAGCTCCACCCACTCAGCAAACCTCAAGGGTATCACTGTTCAACAGCAGTTTGCGGTCATTTACAACAAAAGCAATGATCAAGAACTCATTGAAAGTGATGGAGAGGGGCCGGCCCAGTGGCGCACTGGATAGTGCGCCGCTTGGGAAGCGCGGCGGCGCTCCGTCCGAGGGTTCGGATCCCATATACAGACCGGTTCCCGCTCACTGGCTGAGCGAGGCGCGGGAGCGACCCCGAGGGTTGCGATCCCCGGTACGGGGGCAACACGGTTCGGATCCCATATAGGGATGGCCGGTTAGCTCACTGGGTGAGCGTGGTGCTGACAACACCAAGTCAGGGGTTAAGATCCCCTTACCGGTCATCTTTTAAAAAAAAAAAAAGAAAGTGATGGAGAGACAATGGTGAACACTGATAGGCCACTTCTACTTTGATTACAGGTGCTCTACTTAGTGCTTTCCATGCACTGTCTCACTCCATCTGCTAGAAAGCCGCTGCGCGAAGGCAGAGTCTGGGTCTTGTTCATCACTGTGTCCTAGAGTAGTGTCTGGCACAGAAGAGGTGTTCAATATCTGCTTGCTAAGCAGCTGCATCCTCATACCACCCTCGGAGATAGGTGCAGTTATGACTCCTACAAAGAAACTGAGGCTCAGAGAAGTTAAGTAACTTGTTCAAAGTCTCAGAGCTAGAATAAAGTAGAGCTGAGACTCAAACTGTCTGACCCAACAGCCATGCCCTTCCCTCTGCACAAGGCTATAGAGGTCATACCAATGGTGCTGGATAAGTGAGGCCTTGTGTTCTTTTCTTTCCCCCTATAAAATTTTTCAGAATTCTAGCAAATTCTATGAGCCTCCTTTGATCCTCACCAGAGAGAAGCAACTGGGACAGGTACTAGGGAAAGGGAGACCTGCCTGAGATTTCCTCTGGGAAGCAGACAGAGCACAGCTCCTGCCAAGCTGGAGAACATGGCTCTGGGGACAAATCACTGACTTTAGCCTGTTGGCTCCTGTGTAAGCCAGAGATGCTGGGCCCTGCCCCTGCCTCAGCCAGTAACCATCCTCAGCAAGCTTTTTGCTTTCCCTGTTGGCATGGACCTTGCTCAGGGTCAGCTCTTGCTTGTAAAGCCAGTGCAATGGCAAAGCCAATCCTGCCTCTTAGGTGAAAGGGGGAAGAAATGTGCATCAACTGAGCGCATACTGTGTGCCAGCCGGGCTTGCTTTACACTGGCCCTTGGCACAGCCCTCTGTTAGTTGCAAAAGGGTCTATTCAAAAGGGGCCTGGTGTGGGCCGGCCCATGGCTCACTTGGGAGAGTGCGGTGCTGATAACACCGAGGCCACGGGTTCAGATCCCTATATAGGGATGGCTGGTTGGCTCACTTGGGAGAGCGTAGTGCTGACAACACCAAGTCAAGGGTTAAGATCCCCTTACCTGTCATCTTTAAAAAATAAAAAAAAGGGGGGGGGGGTTTGGCAATCCACGTCCTGGAGTTGGTCACTCTCCTGTCCCTGCCTTGGGGTGGGAAAAGGGGAGGCAAGGATGCAAGTGGATGTTCTTGAGCTTTTGCCATCATTTTTTCACTCTCACCCCTGCTTATGGGTTCTGATACAACAGAATCCACTGAGGGCAATTCTAGTGTGGGAGACCAGGTGTGTGTGTGTGTGTGTGTGTGTGTGATGTGCCCACGCACGCACATATCACACTGTGTGTGTTCCACACTTACCTCGCAGAGCTCATCCCTGAGGACTGAGTTCACACACTGCTGTGCTGGCCAGAGCAATAACCCAGCAGCAATTTCATTCGAAGAGATCAAAACTCTGCTCATAATTGGGTGTTAGGATGGGTTCTAGGTGGGCGAGGGGAGCAGGTGCAGGGCATGATTGACCCAAAGAGTGACCTTCAGTGCTCATGTCTCCTTCTCCTCAGTTTCCTTGGCAATAAAGATGTGTCCCAAAAAAGACGCTCTCTCTGTTCCATCTCCTACCACCACCCTATCCTGGGTGGAGCTTGAATGCTCACCCCAGGGTTACGGGGCTGCTCTCCCACTGCCTCATGTCTCCCTCTAAGGGAGGGCGGAGGGTGGGCTCCCTGGTGGCCAGTGTCTTCCTGGGACTTCTGCCCTGGGCTGTAGGCTCTGGGGTCACCTAGAAGTGGCCAGCATTAATCCTGCTTGGTGTTTTGGTGAGAGCTTTTCTTGCTTTTCTGGGCCCAGGCTTGGGAGAACTGGGCTGGGTGTGGACGGAGAACTTCTCTCACCCCTCCAGACTGAGTGAGGTGCCCTTACAACTCCTGATATTGTTACTTATCCCTAGTGCAACACCTACCACAGGAGACCGAACGGCTTTTTATTTTTCTTTAAAAAGGTGACGGGTAAAGGGATCTTAACCCTTGACTTGGTGTTGTCAGCACCACGCTCCCCCGAGTGAGCCATAGGCCAGCCCCCAAACTGCTTTTTAGCTGCCCGTCTTCCCCACTGGTATATAACACAGAGGCGGGGACTGTGTCTATTTTGTCTGTGTCCCCTCTGCCCAACACAGTACCTCATGAATAAACAAATGAGTCGTATTCTTGTGGTTTGATTCCCTCTTTGACTATCCCCTGATCGGTCCCAGGGCCATTTTTTGTTTGTTCTGTTTTTCTACCAAGCCTCTGTTTTTAGCTCTCTCCCATACATACTCTCCCTAGGTGAGAGATCTCATCCCTTCCTGTGGCTTCTGTTATCTGCTCTGTGCTGAATGGTTCCTGAACTGCTATTTGCAGTTGGACCTTTCCTAAGCTCCAGACCCATAAAAATGATGAATGGTCTCTTGGACATCTCCAGCTGGCCGGCCCTCAGGCCTCACTGCCTCACCTTCCTCACCAATCTGCCACTCATCCCCCTGGGCTCCCTGCTTTAGCTGATGGCCACCACAGCCGCCCAGTCACCCAGGCCCAGAAATCTGGCCTCTGGTCATCCTTGGCTCCTCCCTCTCTCCTCACAGTCAACCTTCTAATCGTTCTCTCAAGCCCACGATCCTTACTTTAGATCCAGCCTCCCCAGCTCTACCCTGGACCCTCCAATAGTCTCCTCACTGGGTTCCCTTCTCCCTTCTGGTCCATTCTCTACACAGCTGCCTACAGGATCTTTGTAAAGCAAAATCTGACCAAGTCTATTTCAAAGGCTCCTTACTATCAACCAGAGAAAGCCATACTCCTTTGTCTGGCATTTTTTTTTTTTTTTGTCTTTTTCCGTGTCCGGCAACGGATCCCAACCCTCAGTGTTGCCCCCGTACTGGACCGGGACCGGCAACGGGATCGCAACCCTCGGCGCTGCTCCCGCGCCTCGCTCAGCCAGTGAGCGGGAACCGGTCTGCATGTGGGATCCTAACCCTCGGGCGGGAGCGCCGCCGCGCTTCCCAAGCGGCGCACTATCCATTGTGCCACCGGGCCGGCCCCTTTGTCTGGCATTTTCTTTTTTTTTTGTCTTTTTCCGTGTCCGGCAACGGATCCCAACCCTCAGTGTTGCCCCCGTACTGGACCGGGACCGGCAACGGGATCGCAACCCTCGGCGCTGCTCCCGCGCCTCGCTCAGCCAGTGAGCGGGAACCGGTCTGCATGTGGGATCCTAACCCTCGGGCGGGAGCGCCGCCGCGCTTCCCAAGCGGCGCACTATCCATTGTGCCACCGGGCCGGCCCCTTTGTCTGGCATTTTAACTGGCCGTCTACCTTACCCAACTCATTCACACCACTCTGTTCTCAGAGCAAGACTGAATGGCTGTAGTTCTCTGAATAGACCAGGCTGTTCCTTGCCCCTGTGCTTTTGCACCTTAGGTTCCTACTGCCAGCCCTTCTCCACTCTGATCACCTAGCAAACACTCATCCTGAGGGTTTGCTGAATTACTGTTGAATTAAGTTAATCAATAGAGCATTTCCCTGATTTTGTGAGCTCTGGGAATGGCTGGAGTGAACAAGACACAGTCCTGCCGTCAAGCAGCATATATGCATAAATCTGGACAAGTAAACTTGGGTGACAGCTTTGTTCAATAGAACCAGGAGCATCAGAAACTGTAGCAGGCTGGGGAGAGTGGGGCTGCATGAAGGAATTATCAACTCCCTAAAAGGCATTCGGCAGAGTGAAGTTACAGAGGAGGAGTGGACAGGCTTACGCAGGGGTTGTAAGCATCTTCCAAGTAGGGCTGGTTATACTTCAGACAACAGCTGCCTCTCTTTTCCTGGGCCAAGGATGCCATCACAAGTACCTCTCAGGGATGCCAGAGGTCCAGCAGGCTGCTATGCCCTCCTCCCTGAGCTGGCCTCTCCCTTCCTTTGAGTGCTTCACTGCAGACTGACCTCTCTCTTTTGGCCCTAGCTGCATGGGAGTCATGTAAGCCGCAGGCTCTGGAACTGGACTGCCTGGGTTGAATCCTCGACTCCCTTTCCCACCTGTGAGACCACAGGTGAATTATTTAATCATACTTTACTTCAGTGTCCACATCTGTTAAATGGAAGCAGTAATATTAACTATCTTCAGAGGGTTGTTGGTAAGATCAAAGGAGTTGATACATGTACATTTCTTAGAACAGTGCACGGCACAGGAAGTGCACAGATGCCAACTACTACTGCGTCTCCTTTCCACTGTCTAGTAGGCAGAGAGCTCACAGAGGGTAGGTTTGGGTCTGGCCCATAGCTGTGCACCTGAATCCACCAAGAGGCTGGAACAGAATACATGTGTGAGTAACTGAATATGTGACTTCTGAATACATGACCTCTTAGTCCTCAGCAGGAGGCTCAGGGGCAGGGAGCAGCTGAGAGGCAAGGAAGACAGCAACAAAACTGGGGCAGGGCCAAGGATGCTGGGCCAGGGGGGAAGGCAGTGGGCAGCTGGTGGGGAGATCTGGGTCTGGGTCTTCCTGGCTTGGTACCTGATGTGTTGTTTGGTATGCGGAGTCCCTCCCTATGCCTCATGTGACATGGGAAGCAAAGCACTTTCCCATTTTCCCAGGGCTGGAGGGGGCTAAGGAGAAAGGTGGGCTGGACTACATCTGGCCAGGTCCTGGCTAATATAGATCCTGCATCTTGGGTCTTAGTGTTCTTTTGGCAGAAAAGGGCCCCTGGAAAAGTGGAGGTCGTCCTCTCCCATGGTCATAAGCAATCCCTCCCCTGGCACAAGGTGAGTAGTGGTATGGAGGGGGAGGACTGGGACTATGAGAACAGACATATCTGTAGTCCAATCTTGACTCCTTACTTTGTTTTGGCAGCCAGCCAGTAAAGGGATCAAACCCTGGACCTTGGTGTTATCAGTGCCATGCTCTAACCAACTGAGCTAACTGGCCAGTCTCAATCTTGGCTCCTTACATAGTAGCTCTGTGGCCTCGGGTATATCATTTATAATCTTTCTGAACCTCAGTTTCTTCATCTATAAAAAATGAGATAATTTCTTTCCTGGCTACTGTGATGATTAGCAATAATGTCTGTAAAGTCTTTAGCACAGGTCTAGTATTGAGAATGTACTGAATAAAAGTGAAATCTCCCCATCTAGAGCTCACCCCTACTAGTGGGGGGGCCTGAATAGTTTGTGAGGAGCCTGGAGCTCCTCAGAAGGAAAGTGCTCCATGAGGCAGAGTATTACCATTTCAGCAATAGCAGCAACACTATTAGCACCTTAAAGAACTGGTGGAGACAATGTTTGACACACAGGGAGGAACAAGAGCTGTTTGAGCCAGAAGTTTCTAGGAGCTTATCTGATTGAGCCTCCTTGTTTGTCACATGAGGCCCCTGATGCCTAGAGATGGACAGTGACTTGCCCAGGCCACAAGCCAGTCAGGAGTGGAGCTGGAACTAAAAATGCAGGTCTCTCTCTCTCATGGCACCTCTGCCCTACTCTGTCTCTCTAGAAGGTAGCCTGGCAGCCATGAAATTTCAAGTTGTGGGCAGTGCTGGTTTTTCCTTGAGTGCCTGCCTGGGCCCTGCTCCAACCTGCTAAATGACTGAATGTACACATGGGGGAGCAGCAAGTTGAGGAATGATCAGACAGGCCTCTGGGCCACTGGTTCCTGCCGTTCACAGCCCCCAGTACCTCCAGGTGGCCCCCCACTCCATCATGGCCCAGGCTTCCACCTCATCAAACAGCTGCAGCATGATGGTGAGCACATCCGGATGGGCCTTGTCCACTTCATCGAAGAGCACCACGGCATTGGGGCACTGCTTCAACTTCTTGGTCAGCTGGCCACCCTCCTCATGGCCAACATAGCCTGGTGGGGACCCGATAAACTTGGCCACCTGGTGGAAGGAAAGAAACATGCTAGGAGGGCCTTTCTGTGCTTTTAGTTTACAATATGGGGTGTGTGTGGGAAGATGGCTTTATACACCACTAAGATTACCTTTTCAACAAGGATGGCCAGCTGTCTCTCTCCTGGTGTGGCAGGAATCCTGCCATGATGGGAAGGCAAATAGATCTTCTCTATGTTTATTCTTTATGTTTATTTGTCAGAGCAAGTGACATGCAAAACATCAGTTACCCTGCTGCACACATGCGCCCCCAAGGACAAATCCCAAGTCTGCTGGAATTATCTGAGGCCTAAATGACAGGTCATATAAAACACTAAGGCAGTCATGTTGATTGACACTTCACCAAGGACTCTCACTCACCTCATGTCGCTCCTGGAACTCAGACATGTCCAGCCGGATGAAGCCCTGTGTGGAAACAAGCAGGAACCACATCCATTTGGAGGCAGGAAGGTAAAGGAAAGGGCTAAGGAGGGTAGCACCCTAATAGGCTTTCAGACCACACCAACCCAAGATCTTCTATTTCATTTTCATAATTTTTCTGGCTCCTTCCCCCCCTTTTCTGACTACTCCCCCATGATTCCCTCATTCTTTTCCTTAATAAAGCCAAACCATGTCCCTACCCTAATAAATCTGACTCAGGATGTCTCTTCTTTCAGGCAGGCTTCTACTGGTCTGATTAACACATCATCCATCCATTCATCTGTCCGCTCGTCCACCCACCCACCCATCCATCCCGCATTTCCTGAGGGTATCCTGTGTGTGCTGGGGTTACCACAGTGAACAAGTCTTGGTCTCTGTCCTTGGGGAGCATCCCACTGGGTGTGGCTGGTAGGCCGACATGGACAGAGTCAGTCACAATCAGCGCGGATCGTGAGGAGATGGATGGGAGCAACAAATACCCAGATGGCTCCACTGTGCCACTCAACTTTGCAAGTCTGTGTGGGGTGCGCACCCCTTTGTTTCAGTTTACTTTTCTTTAAAATGAATATATCTTTTTATTTATTTACATTTCTTCACTTCATTTAAAAGATACCCATAATGTAGCTTGCAGCCTTTCTCTCTCTTCTGCTAGGCTTAGGAGTGATTCCAAGGGAATGGCCCCCTGGGGTGAGGGCCATGATTAGCCCCAGGGAAGAGAATACCTTGTAGTGTGTGATTGGAAGAGTTATTACCGGCAGAGTGCCCACTTCTTTTCTTGAAGAACTGACTGATTTAGGCAGTTATGAGGGCATTCACAGGTGCCCTTTCTATCCACTCAGACCAGGGTTCCCCACAGTCCCCCCAGCTCCATCTAAGAGACAGCACTCACTGAATACTGATTCTTCTGAGAGCTGGGGATGACAGTGTGCCAAGACGCTCAGAGGCAGGTAGCCAAGTCGGAAATCCAGGGCCATATTCTAGCTTGGCCACTGGTCAGAAATTCACTCAGTGATGTGTTTTTAGTTCTTCCTCTGTCCTGTCACTCTGTACCTGAGGTACAGGGTGGTGGGAAGAGCCCTGGGCTGGCAGCTAGGCGCTCAGCTTCCAGTCCCAGTTCCACCACTGTCTCTATGGCTTTGGACATGTTGCCTCCCCTTTTTTAGCTGCAGTTTCTTTGGTGTAACAGAAAGCTCTTGACTCCTCTCCCTGCCACACCAGGGACCTGAGGAAAGGACCTACCCTGAGGTGGGAAAGGGCTTAGAGAAGTTATTAGGCCATGTGGGGGTAAGCACTGCTATCAGAACGCATGCGGCATGATGAGCCAGCAAACATTTCCAGAGGGTCCGTACACAGCTCAGACAAGAAACACACGGGCTTCAGGAAGGGTGGGAGGATGGCCATGGGGAAGCTGAGGGTGCTGCCTAGAGAAAGCAATGGGCTGGAAGCCACAGATGAGTCTCTCGCTGATAATAGCTGACACTCACTGGGTGCTTACCAGGTGCCTGGCAATATTCTATGCAAGCTATAAAAGGATTAGAACATGTACAAGTCTATGTGGTAAGTCCTATTATCATCCCCACTTAACAGATGAAAAAACAAAGTCACAGATTAAAGTAACTTTAATCTATGGCCCAAGGTCACCCAAGTTTGGCAATCTGGCTCCAAGTCTGTGCCCTTAGCCATTATGCTCCACTGCCTCACATTTCCCCCTCTGCCAAACAGCTGGGCTCTTGCCAATCTTCATTTGAAGAGTTCTGAGCTTTGTGCCCACATGTCAATCAATGTCCCCTGATACAGGGAGTATAGACTTAATTGCTTACTTCTGTCAAGTGACCTGGGTTCTCACTCTAGTTCTTCTAGTGATTGCTATGTAACTTTGAACAAGTCTTTGGGCTTGATTTTCTTGGCTGTAATCTTTTTGGTTTCACGTGATCTTACAAAGTGAGGCAACAACAATAGTAACATCCAGCACGTACTGATTTGCTTACTGTGAGCCAAGAATGGTGTCTAACATTTTATATAATTTTCTCATTTAACCTTCATAACAATCCAATGAGTTCAGCATCATTATTGAACCCATTTTACAGACAAGAAAATATGTGAACAGAGGTCCTGGCCAACTCTATGTAGTAGGGTAGCGTTGGGATTTGAACCCAGGCAGCTGGACTCATATACTTGCTCTTAATCCCTTCATCATACCACCACTATAAATGCAAGTCTTTTGGGTTCCACCACCCTACCTTGTGATGAGCTCACAGAACACCATTAAGGTTCTTTCTCAAGGATTATTAACTCTGGCAATGAAAGTTAACAAAGCTGCTGAATTTGGGAGAAATAGTACAGAGGCTAATGAGAGGAAAAAAAGAAGCTCACAGGTATATCTGCCAAAAAAAAAATTTATATAAATGTGCAAAAAATGCCCTGTGAGGCAGCAAGATCCAAAGGTATTGGTGTCTCTTTATAAACAAGGAAACTAAGAATCAGAAAGCCAGACTAGAATTCAAGGCACTGGACGCCCAGGCCAGTGCTCATTTCAGTTCATCAGCCATCTTGGGAGGCAAGTGAAAGGGAGCTCCCATTTGCTAACAGCCTATTTTACCCTGGGCTCTGTACATGACACTTTCATATGTCACTCCTTGGGTCCTGGAGGCAGCAGGTACACTGGTCAGACAGCTTACAGTCCAGGACTCTCTTGGATTTTGAAGGCAGTTCTCAAACATACCTGTCATATGGCCAGAAAATGTCTATGCTAAACACAGGTTCTGTAATAAGTTTGCCCACAGGGTTGGTACAGGTAGGAGTTTTATAGAAGCACTACTTATGATTCAAAAATAAAATACACAGATAATTTTATCAGTCTTCTCATGTATCTCATCCCTCAATGTGAAATGGAGACAAACGGACAAAAAAACAAAAGTTTATAACCTAGCCTCCAGAGCAGCGGAGAACAGTATTGAGAGAGGAGTTGACAGACTGGATCCTTGTTTTACTTCTTCCCCTGACAAGTGGCCTTGGACAAACTTCTTAATGCTGTAGGGCTTCAGTTTTCTCATCTGAAAAGTGGGTCTAATTTAGCACCTAGGCTAGCTTCCTCATAGGATCAAATAAGAGAGATGACGTCCTGCGGTGGAAAGTATGAAGTGATAAATACAAGTAAAGAGGGTGTGCACTTGCGTGCTAGAGCCTGAGCTAGCTGCAATTCATATTGTCCCACTGGATGCTCACAACAACCTGAGATACAGGACTAGATAACTTGACCTTGAGGCAAGAGAGCTGAAACTTCAAAGGGTAAAGTAACCTTCCTAGGGCTGGCAGAAAGTGAAATTGGAAGTTGAGTCAAGGAATGGGTGGCTCTGGAGCTCTGTGCACCATAGTCCACTGCTCCCAAGAGGTGAGGGTGTTACTTCCTCCTTCTGGGTGAGGCATGTATTGAAGGAGACCATCATCACACCTTCAGGACACCCTGCACTAGTGTAAATCTGTCTCCCACCCAGACACACCACCTAAAAAATCACTTGCATCATCAGTCTTTTAACAAGCCCCTTCTCTTCTACACCAGCGAGTCAGCAGATACTTTCCTTCTACTTCTACTGTGTATGAAGACATATTAAGACGGCTTGGATAAGGAGATTATAATTTGTAATTAAATATTAACCTTTCTGACAGTATTAAAATTAAACCACTCAGAATTCTTCATCCCTAATCAGGTGGTTCCTGCCCGTAACTGCATCTTCTCTAATAGTCTTGCTAGTTTATTGCCCTTTCCAGAGTGCTAATTGTTTCAATCGCTGCCAACCTGATGAATTGTCTTAAAAATGCTATTTGGATTGGAGCGTATTAGCAAGCCATGCACTTACTTGCCTGCCTGCCTGCCTGTCTGTCAAGTGGGTCTGCTCTGGGTCTGGTTGAGGCAGAGCATAGCTACAGGCAGAGTCAGGGAGGCTTAAGAGCCTTCAGTAAGTTATTAGGCAGAAGGAGGCTCAGGAGGACATAGTCTGAGCTACCTTGTTCCCGTGGCTACCAGGCTGTCAGGGAGGTCACAAGAGGGCAGGTAGGCCAGAAGTGGAACAGGAGTCAGGACTCTGTGCTGCTGGGGCCACCTGGCTGGCAGCGGCCTATGTAACTCCTCACTGCTTCATCTAGAGAGACTTTCCATAGAAACTAAGCAAGAGCATCTGGGATGTCAGGCAACCTCCAGCAGTGGGAAGGAGGACCTTAGTCTCAACACAAGGAAGGCTGGTAGGAGAACATTTGGCTTTTGGTGAACTGCTTCTGCATTCTCTCTGAAGATTGCTCCCTCTGCATGAAAGCATTTCCTGTCAGCCTAGAAAGTCAAACCGAGCAGGTCTTGGAAAGCTCTACTGTGAACAAATATGGGATGAGGAAGGCCCTCTCCTATGGAGAATCCAGGGCTCTGAGCCACGGAGAAAGCAGAACTATGAGCACCTCAAGTTTAAGGCATAAGACTCCATATTTAAAAGCTCATGCAGGGTGGAGAGAAGCAATAAGGATCCTCTTATTTCTACTTGTTTTCTCCCACGGCCCGAGACTCTCTAGCACAGCTTTGACTGCATTGGACAGCAACAGTAGGTTTCTAAAGCTTTTTCCTCTCCAGCCTGAGCTCCTCAGGGTAGGGAGAGTGTTTTAATAAATGCTGTATTAGCAGCATCTAGTACAACACCTGGCACAGGGTAGATACTTGAAAATGTTGTATGTATGAATCTCATTTGGTTTTCCCAAGAGCCCCAAGAGTCAGGCAGGGCAAGAATTATTCTTCCTATTTCATAGATGAAGAAACTGAGGCACCAAGAAGTTGGATAACTTGCTCAAATTCATGGAGCAATTGGTGGCCAAGTTGGGAACAGAGCTGAGGCCTGCTTCCTGGGCCAATGCCCATCTTTTTGACTGGCTATTGCCAGATTCACAGAGCCTCGGATTCTTGGGGATAGCAAGAATGGCAAGGTCTCTATGGCCTGCAGATCAGGTGTAGGTCCCAGCCCTTACCTTTTTGGCATCTTTGTGCATATATTTGGCTGTCTGCTTAGCCAGCTCTGTTTTTCCTAGTTAGAAAGAAGGAAGAGGAGTTGGGTTAGGACCAGATGACTACTTGATGGAATGAAAGAATCTTGGAAATGCACAAACCCTGGAAAGAATATATTTTATGATGGGAACATGGAGGTTCAGAGAGGGTCAGTGACTCCCCTTAAGTCATCTAGGGAATTAGTGGTGAGGCTGGAGCAGAATCAAAGTCTGCAATGCATCTTGACTTTTCTGTGAATGAGGACTGAGGCCTTTTCTCTGTGCAGCATGCTAAGAGTGGGAGGCTGACTCATAATCCAGAGCCAACTTGTCCTTTGAAGCCCAGCACAAACCTCACTTCTCCTAGGAGCGTTCTGACCTCCTGGCTCACTGCCCTGTGTCTGTCTCAACACCCACGGTCCTGCCATTTGGCCAGGCCCTGGAACCACATGCCAAATAGAGGCTGGAGGGAATGAAGAGTGCCTCTCATCAGCTTCGGAGCCTTTCTTTGTAACATAAAGAAGCAAAGACAATACCGAAGTGGTGGCTCTGAAGGGCCATTTGGTATAATGGTAAATCCTTTAGAATTCATGGTCAAGTATAGAAATCAAGTTCTATGGTATAATGGTCAGGTGGTGGTAACCTTTTGAGACTCTACAACTGAGGGAGAGCTAGGCCCATGAAGATGTTGGGAAGGGAAGAGGCAGCAAATAAACCATGAAATTCCCCATCAAGACAATGGTGGAAGGTGGTGGTGGAGGAGAGGGGGGTCTGTGTAGGTGGGCAGTGAGGGGGTGAGAATGCCTCTGATAGTCTAGCCCGGCTGGTTAGAAAAATACCCAGCCCATTTTACTGCAACCAGTTCTCATATGCACATGGTACTATGCTGGTCATCAGGAGCTTTCTTTGGCTTCCTAAAATTAGGCTGCACTGAACACGGTTGGTGTGCTGGGCAGTGGAGGTGTTTCAGTTATTCCTAAAGGGGAGCCTCTGGGAAGGCAGAGTGGCTGGAGCAGGGCTAATGGGCCCTGAATGGCCTGGTCCTCTAGGTGGATCTGTCCTTATATAGCTTCCAGAGGGGGGTGCATAATTCAAGCTGTTCATAACAGATGATAAAAAAAAAAAAAAAAAATGGAGTCCTCTTTCTTGGTGGCTCTGTGATTTGGAGGCAGTTGTTTTGGAACTGGGAGTTGAATTAGAGTTGGGTTGTGTGACCCTGGCCCACAACAGCTGGGGCTATTGGGCCTGGGCCGGACACTCCCTCAGCTCTCCTTCCCCACTGGCTGATCTGCTCCCAATTACCTATTCCAGATGATCCCAAGAAGAGGAAGACCAGAGGGTGTTCTTCGTCGTACCAGCCATTCTCCTTCCTCCGGATTGCTACAGCCAAACACACAAGACAGGGGGGACAGGGAGGGAGGCAGATAAATCAATGACACAAAAGGCAGGATAATTATCACTAAGTATACAATATGTTTTACTGCTCTGCGCCCACTCAAAGTCCTCACTACCATTAGTGCTGCCTAATCTGATTAGCTGGCAAGGCCCCTAGAGACACCTAATCAGGTTAGCATGGATTTGGAAAGCTGCCCAGAGCAGATTTCGGATAAAGTTTTCCAGGATGAGCACTCAGTGTTGCCAGGGAAACTGAAAGGCGGGTGGATGGTGAATGGAGGTGAAGGGGGTGGGGACTGGTGAAGGAGAATTCGAGAGGAACTTTAGCTCTCGCTGGTTACTCATCTATTCACCATGGTGGGAGTGTGGGCCTGCCTCTGATGCAAATATGAGGGGCAGAAGCCTATGGCAGGGCCTTGGGGATCTGGGGTTTGAGCACTGGACTCTTTCCCATTTGGGGAAACCAAGTTCTGGTCAACTGTCTGGATCAGGAAGAGGAAACACAGCCAAATGAATTTTCTGGAAGCCAATCAAGGGTAGTGTGGAGCTCAGGATACAGAAGTGAAAAGGCACTTGGTTAATATCTCTACTAACCACGGCCTCCAGTGGGAGGGGGTAAATGGGGAGTGGGACATATATGTACTAGGTTCCTTGGGGGCTCAATTCTGCTACAGCAAGACCTGACCTCTCCTCTTCAAGAGGAAGTATGTAATCAAGGGCTATGCATTCGAGATGAGGAAACTAAGTGCTCAACTATAGAGTGGGAGAATCAGGCTCAGAAGCATCGCTCAAGTATAAGAGCAGAGGGTGGAGCAAGGCAAGAACCATAAGAAGAAGAATCACTTATTGAACATTCTGTATACTAGGTACAATTGGAAAATCTACCAAAAACGTATTTACTCAAGATTCACACAAACACCCTGAGAGAAAAGTATCATTCTCAACTCCATTATAGTGAACAAGAAATTGAGGCAACAGATAGAGACTTGACCAAGTCACACACCTAGGTGATAGAGTTGCTTCTCTCTCTAAACCTGTTTTTTTTTTTTTTTGTCTTTTTGTCTTTTTTCCGTGTCCGGCAACGGATCGCAACCCTCAGTGTTGCCCCCGTACCGGACCGGGGACCGGCGACGGGATCGCAACCCTCAGTGTTGCTCCTGCGCCTCGCTCAGCCAGTGAGCGGGAACCGGTCTGTACGTGGGATCCGAACCCTCGGACGGGAGCGCTGCCGCGCTTCCCAAGCGGCGCACTATCCAGTGCGCCACCGGGCCGGCCTAAACCTGTTTTTTTTTTTAAATCACATATGGCTGCTTTAAAAAGTACTAATTTGGGTTGCATTAATGGAAACATGACAGGCAGGAGCAGGAAGGGGACAGAGCACTGTGCAATGTCAAGGTCAGTTCACAGATGGAACAGTATGTCTGGTCTGGTCCCCAGAGTGCCAGAGAGAGATTAGCAAAGGGATATGTGTCAGAGGTCAAGGCCTGGAAACCTAGTCAATTGAGAAAGAGTTGACAGTCTTAGATATGTGTCTGTCAATATTGAGGTGCTAAGATCCTAAATGCTATACTGTGTAGTTGGGTTTCAAAGAAGTGTCTGCAGGGGTCAGGAAAGGCTCTTTGGAAGAGGTGGAACTGCTGATGAGTCATGGAGCCTGGGCAGGATTTGGGGAGGCAAAGGTGGCGAGCATAACAGAGGTGGAGAGACAGGAATGAACATAGGTGGGGTCAGATTCTCTGGAATACCCGTCTCAGGAGTTCAGCCCCATGCTGTGGTCTTTTTCACCTCAGCCTCTAATGTTGCTACCTAGAGTACTTTCTCTATAGTTCTGGCTTCAGTAGAAACAGATGGAAACTGCAACCTCATAGACATCAGACCAGTCACTTCTGCCTGCCCAGGATATGCTCCCTGAGAATCCTAAAAGGCACTTGGGAAGACACTCAGTCCAACCTCTCCCCTGGGCTAGAATCCATATCTCTGATTTAAGTGGCCCAGGTTCTGTGGAAGGATTGGCTAGGAATCCAGACCTCATAGGTACCTGAATGCTGAGGATGAAGAAGGAGAAGTCCAAGCCTAGTTGAGGGGGAGTACCTGGTATCTTGACAGATACAAGGAGATAGGAGTGGGGGTAATTGGGGAAGTGGAGGTATTAAAATGGCAAGGTTAGACTTCTGTGAGCACTATGTGTGGATATGTGTGTTGGAGAGAAGGTAAGAGAGTAGTCACCTGAGAGGAACTATGTTCTTCCAAAAGTTGGCTAAATTGAGAATCTAGGTTGGGAAGAAGCTGTGTATGAACTGGGTTCAGGCTTCATGGAGTATTTGGGGAGGCAGAAGTACCCAGGCATCACTCAAGTGACCAGGGGGAAACGGGGCTCCCCAGGGTATCATGTACCTGAGTGTCCGATGTTGGCTTAAAATTTCAGGTTAAAATCCCAGCCCACCGAGAGCTGAACACTGCTTGGCTGTGCAGTACAAAAATGCCACAGAAAATGTGGAATTGAATTATGCCTGGGGCCATCTTTCCCCCTTCTTTTCTAATAATGCACCTGGGAGAGAACTCTTTATAATGCTAGGCAGACTCCACTGCACAGCTGTCCCTGGGCCATTCTGCCAGGCCCAGGGCATGAGTCTGGAGGGGGCTTGATCTAGGCACCCCATGAAACAGGCGAAATGCCAACCATTAAACAATTACAACTTCAGATATTTCTAATAAATCTGAAGAGAAAAACGGCCAAGCAGATGGAGTCTGACAGAATGAAAAATGGAAGCAGCTAGGAAGGACTGGAGAAGGTGGGCCCTAGTATGTGCAGTTAGCAGGGTGACTGAGGACCAAGGCTGGGAACCTTGAGGGTCCTGTCCTGCCAGTGTAGAGGATGGGACAGACAGAGACCTGGATGGGCCCATGTGGGGTGTGGCTATAGGTGCTGGTGCTCTCTAGTCACTGCGGACCAGCAAGTGTACAACTCACTCTGCTAGCACTTCACATCTATAAAGAACTTCCGTTGACACAATTTCATTTCAGCCTTGTTATGACTGCATGAGGTAAGTATGGCAGGAAAGCCAATTCCCATTTTACAGATGAGGAAATAAGTGAAAAACAGGTACCTCAAGGTTACATGGGTTAATAAATGAAGACCCTGGGCTTTGACTCCAGGCTGACTCTGGAGCCTGAGCTGGTGCTGGTGCTTCAGGAGCTTAGAGAAAGGAGCCAGCTCTCCTCCTGGCTCTCTGCTGCCCCAGCACCTCCTCATACTCTCACTTCCCCAACAAAAGTTTCCTCTGTAGCTCTAATCTGACTCACTCAGGCTTCAACACATGGCTTCAGTAGCCCCTGTGCCCTGACTCTGTCCTGACCACTCTTCTTGTGCTCGAGATGGTGTCAGTGCCCTTTGCACGGGCAGCTCAGCTCCCTTCCCTGGCCAGTCCCATCTCTGCAAGCTCCAACCAGGCTCTTCTGTCTCTCCACACGCAGCGCCAGCACCTGCTTTGCTTGTGTTCTGCCCTTGCCAGAATGCCTTCTCCTGGCTATGTCTGTTTCCATGTCTGTCTCTATTGGACCATCTTAAAACTCACCTGCAATAACTCTTTTCAATTAACTCCACCACACCACATCTACCCCATTAACTCCTGGGTCTGTATTCTTTGTACGTGTTCTTCTACAGGGAGTAGCACCCTTCCAGAAAGAGGCTGAGATGAGAATCTGTGTTGAGGAGAGGGTAGGAGTTACAGGATCTAACTTGGAATCCTGCCTCTGTGACTTTCTAATTGACTATGAGTAAAACACTTATTCCTTTACAGCCTGTTTCTTCATCCATAAAATGGGAACAGTATAAGGGGTTTTATCTGCCTGCACTCTTGTAAACAGGGGGAAGGTGTGCCCCCAATCTGGCTGTGTATTCCACGGCCAGAGGCTATGTGTTCTATTTCCTGAGGGACCATCGAGACTAGCCCAACACAGGTTTAATACTTGCTGACTAAATGCATTAATTCTTGGTCTTTCTAGAATTGTAAGGAATAAAGAAAAGATACCCCAACTCTCATTTTTCAGAGAAGAGTGAGGCTTTGACCCAAGAGTTTCAAGGTAGTTACTACTACCTTTGGGTGAAGAAGGTTTTTCTTCTGAACCCCTCTCCAGGGAGCCTTATGAATTTGTTCAGTAAATAAGCTCTGTGTCAGGTGCTGGGGAACCCACAAAGAGGCCTAAAACATGGCTGTGCCTTTGAGGTAAATGCTGCTATGAAAACTGTGGGCTTCAAACAGGATGGGTGAAGTGGGAGAAGTATGGGAAAAGCCATTTGTGCCTGCCTGACACTTGTGCCTGAAGGATGAGGGGGAGATTGCCAGGCAGTTAGGGGTATGAAGGGATGTTCCAGGAAGAAGGCCCCAGTGTGTGTAAAACAAAGAGAGGAAAGAGCTGCCTCCTCCTCACACCCTGGGCTTTTGCCTCCATCCTGCTCAAGGTTCTGAGGCCGTCTGGGTGGGCCAACTCATGTTTCTTGGTAAGTTCAAGTGATCTAGTGTGGGAGGTTTTTTAGCCTAACCTAGAACAGGTTTGTTCCACGCTTGAGGCATCTCCTAGGGGGACCAGTCCTTCTGAGGGATTCCCATGGTGGAGAGTCACGCAAATGTTTATCAATTTCCTGTCTACTGTTTATACGTTCAAGGAACATAGTGCCTACTGACTAAGTGGATACTAGTGTCTTGGTTTAGTGCATCATGGGAGAACAGTTCTCTTCTTAGTCCTTAGTAAGGATTATTTTCTCTGCAGGCAAGAATAAACTTGCTGCTGAGAGGTTAACATATTAAAAGTGCAAAGAAGAGCTTCTACTGAGACTTCCCCTTGTGTCTGTGTGCGAGCACATGTGTGCACGTGCGCACACACATGCTGCGGGTAGGGATCACCTGAGGGAAGAGTAGCACCCTTCCGGAAAGAGGCTGAGATAAGAATCTGTGTTGAGGAGAGGCAAAATGTCAAAATGGGCC